TGCCACTGCTGACCCATTATCCCACGACCCACCACCTCCTCCTCCTCCTCGGGTGGTCGCCGTATCGCTGTTGGGCGTTGTTGCTTTCTCTTGTCAAACGAACCGCAGCATGAAGAAAGAGAGAGGGATTTGGGGAGGAATGTCGACGCTGTTTGGCCCCGCCTTCCTCTTTGTCTTTCTATTATCCTTTCCCCTACGCGCTCGTGAAGGCTATTCGGTGTAGGGTCCCGCATTAGATGCGGCCTCGATGGGTTGTGTTCCCCTTTTTCTCCTCTGCAATTATATGCTCACTTCGCCTCCCTACAATTATTATTACCTTAATTAAACTTCCTCCCTCCTTTCCTGTTATAGTGAATTGCACGCTGTCCGTGCACCTAGACTTCACCTTCTTCTCCTCTCAATTAATCCGCCATTTACGAACTACTTGTCGTCCATTTTTATCTCCTTAGTTGTCGTTTGTTTAGCACATCGTCTTTTTTGCTTATGTTGTAGTGGTACATAAAATCAACGGATGGATATATATATATATGCTTTCATTTGGTAAGTACGTGATTTTCTATTATTAATTCGCATAACTGTTTGTACGCCAACATTCATACGTTTGTTACTATAATTAGTCTGCACCTGAAGTTACCTGCAGGGAATTGAAGCCTGGATATGGAGACCTCCTTCACTCCGTTTGGTAGGATTAATCTTTTTAGTACGTGCTGCTTCACTTCCACGGTCTACGTACATACACAGGATCGGAGGGTGCTCTGCTGCCAAGCCGAAATGGGTTTTTGGCATGACCGCGTGCGCATGCTTACCATAATTTTAAACGGTTGATCCATGTATAGGTGCATGCTGGAGGAAGAACAAAACTGCATCTGTGTTGAAGAATATAGACCAATGAATCCTTTTGTTGGGCGCAGAGTCACGCTCACCGCCGCGGAAGCGATATCACCTGAGAGAGAGGGCCCTGACTTTTGTTTTCACAAAAGTACAAGTCAAACTCGATATCTGTTTTTCGCGAAGGAAACCCGGACTCAGTAGCGAAATATCTCATCGAAGTGAGATATCCACTCTTCCTCTCATCAGTGCAAGGACTGAACTATCGGGGGCACCTGCAAGTAAAACAAATAGTTATGACAATACAAACACGAGATTAACGTGGTTCGGCAAACTTGCCTACGTCCATGGAAGGAGGTTTCACTATGAGGAGAATATCAAACTTTACAAGTTCTCTCTCAACTCACTCTTTCTTTTCTCTCAAAAGAACTCTACACAACCCACTTAGTGTTTTTCCCACTAATTTTTCCCCACACAATAACTCCTCCACCCCTTCTCTATTTATAGAAGAGCAAGGGGCAAGGCTGAAGATTTTGGGCTGGAGAAGAGACGCAGGAAAAAGGAGCGCGCGCGGGAAATGAGCGCAGGAAGCAAAAGGCGCGTGGGCGCCTTTGCGTGCGCGCGCACGAAGGAAGCGGGCGAGCGGCCCACGTGGGTGGGCCCCCTGTCCCCCGCTCACAATTCTCCACCTCGTACATCATTTGATAAACCTCAAATTTTGGACGAACACCAGAAGAACCCCACGAACTCCACCAGAGAGATCCAGGCCAGAACCAGGCCAAACCAGTTGCGTCACTATACCGCGCCTGCCTACGTACCCTCCACCGGGATCAAGCTAATCATAGTTTTGCTATTATTCTCCAACATAGTCTCCACCTCACCTCCATCATCGCCCCAAAGGGCCATGCCCTCTTAGGCAGATCAACACGGGCTGATATGAAGTAAGTCCAAGCAATGCTTAAACTTACTACTTGTGACCACCTTGGTTAACATGTCCGTGGGATTCTCATTCGTATGCACCTTCATGAGAGAAATATCGCCTTCCTCTATGACATCCCGTAAAAAATGATACCTGACATCGATATGCTTGGTATGAGCAAGGTGAACTTGATTCTTCGCCAAGTGAATCGTACTTTGACTGTCGCACCACAAGTTCACGCTCTCCTGCTCAATCCCCAAATCGTCTAGAAGACCCCTCAGTCACAATGCTTCCTTTACTCCCTCCGCCATAGCCATATACTCGGCCTCTGTTGTAGAAAGTGTCACTGTAGCCTGCAACATCGATCGCCAACTAACTGGAGCTCCTGTAATCCTGAATACATAACCAGTAGTAGATCGTCGTCTATATAGATCGCCCGCATAATCTGAGTCCACATACCCGTCGACCTGATATGTATCTCCACCAAAACACAGACCCGTATCCGCGGTACCTTTCAAGTACCTCAGGACTCATTTCACTGCTTCCCAGTGCGTCTTTCCCAGATTCGCCATGAATCTGCTGACCACACTAACCGCCTGTGAAATATCAGGGCGTGTACAATCATTGCGTACATTAAGCTGCCAACTGCACTAGCATAAGGGACATGATCCATGTGTGCCTTATCTTCCGCTGTAGTGGAGATTGTTTACCTAAAAGCCTAAAGTGTGGAGCTAATGGGGTCACCACTGACTTTGCACTTTGCATCCCGAACCTCACGATCACCCGCTCTATGTAGCCCTTCTGACTCAAGAACAATCGCCGATTCACCCGCTCTCTTCTAATCTTCATACCCAGTATTTTCCTAGCAGCGCCCATGTCCTTCATCTCGAACTCATTGCTAAGTTAAGATTTCAGCTTATCTATCTCTACCTTATTTTTCGATGCAATAAGCATGTCATCCACATACAACAGGAGATAGATATAATCACCTCCACGAAGCTTCCGAATGTAAACATAACAATCATAGTCGCTTCGGGAAAACCCATGCTTCAGCATGAATGAGTCAAATCGCTTGTACCACTGTCGCGAAGATTGCTTTAATCCGTAAAGTGACTTCCTCAAGCGACATACATGACTCTCCTTGTCCTCAACCTTGTATCCCTCAGGTTGATGCATATAGATCTCTTCATCCAAGTCTCCGTACAAGAAGGTCGTCTTGACATCGAGTTGTTCCAGCTCAAGATCACCATGAGCAACAATACTCAATAGCACCCGAATAGAAGTGTGTTTTACCACCGGAGAAAATATCTCATTGTAATCCACACCCTCTCTTTGTGCAAACCCCTTAGCCACTAGCCTCGCCTTATACCTCGTACCACCGAGCTCTGAAGAATATTCCTTTCTCTTATACATCCACTTACAACCAATAGCTTTTCTTCCTACGGGCAATGAGATCACCTCCCATGTTTGATTTTTCCGGAGAGATTCCATCTCCTCCTCCATCGCAGCCAACCAACTATCGCTATCTTTATCTCGAATAGCTTTCTTGAAGGAGACCGGCTCATCTTCTTCTACCGAGAGTGCGTACTCAACCAAATTAACTTGCCCATAGTTCTTCAGGGGTTGATCAGCCCCCAGCTTCTGTACATGTTTGTATGCTCGCTTTGGCCTAGTGGAAGCCAAGCTATCCTCAAGCTGCTGTTATTGTAGTGCTTATGTATCCTGCTCAAGCTCATCATCTACTTGATT